TTCCATGTCACACATGGCACCGCCCGGAGAAAAAGTTTGCCATGGTGACCTTTCTCCTTTCCATGCACAGTGCTCTCACCACCAATGCATGGATGGACAGACTGCCTTTAGGATTTTTCCTTTCAAGGATGCCCTGCCAAGAGGGGAGAAAAACAACAGTTCAGTTTTCATTGTTTGGGACCACAGTACCCCCCATTTTCCCCTGGGGCCGAGGGTTCAAGAACAGAGATCTTCTTCTCTTCTCTTTCCTTTCCAGGACAAGGAGGCGCCACCACAAACCCCCTAACCTTTTCTCTGTTCACTCCACTTTTGTCTTTTTCCCAGCTGAAGCAGGTCTCTTGGCTCACTGGCATCCTCCCAAAACACAGTCCCTCTTGAAGGAGAAGATTTGGTTCAGGTTGTGGCTAACATGGAAAAGTCCAGCCAAAAACCACTCCTTGTCCCCCTCCCATCCAGAATTCCTCCTTCCAACATCCCATCCCAGGGTCCAAGGTGTCCCTCTTCCACTCTTTCAAACCGAGGAGGGGAAAGGAAAATTCACAAAGCTTTCATTTCTCAAGGAAGGGTTAAAAGTCTGAACTCCCAGGATGGCTCGATGCCCAGACATCCAGCAACTCCCACACAACTGGGCACCTTGCAGCAGCTCCCCCCCACCCGCTCCTCCTTCCTTGAGGCTTTCTCTCTCCCTCTCGGGAGAGGAACTCTGGGCGGGGGGAAATGGAGACATCCCAGATTTCTTCCACCCTTCCATCTGCAGGGGCCAGCCCGGTTCCAGTCCTTCCACCACCCTTGGGCCCTACCTTTCAGGCCATGGGGGCTTCCCCTCCCCCACCCAGCTCGTGGCTGGGCGGGGGAAGGTCTGCACTGCACGCTGACTGGAACCAAAGAGAGCCAGTTCTCCTGGGAATTCTGCTTTCAACCCCTCTGTGTTCTCAGAGGCGTGTCTACTTTCAATTGGTCAATATCTAAATTGACCTCTTCCTTCCGGAAAAAATTCTCTTTCCGTGTCAAACCACGACAGACCCCATTACTTCCTCATGGGGGCTAGCAGCTGGGGAGGTTCAGGTTGGCATTAGGAAAAGTTCCTTCTCTGAATATGGTAGGGCACGGTAAGGACTTAATGAGCACAATTGCTTGTCTTGAACACTGCTACTACAGAAGGACTTTGCTATGGGATAAGCACAGATGGGAACAACAGGATGGCTCTGACTCCAAGGACGGTGTAATTGAGATCTGGCTAGCACATCCTGTGTAATGGATGCAGACAAAAATTCCCACTGTGGCAAATTGTGTAAAGAAGCAAATGCTCATAGGGTTAAAGATCCCCTCAAGTTACAGAACAGATTGTACCTGTGACCACAGAAGCTCCTACTGCCAAATATGCCTACAAGAATACCTGAAACTGGACTGTAAATTAGGCCACTGTGGAGGGACAGATAAACAAACCTGGGAAAGAAGAGCATGTCACTAAATAATGGACATAAAGAATGCAACCACAAGGAAAGCCATCTCAGCAACTGTGCTGAAATCAGCTCTGAATGGGTGAAAGGTAATTCTTGCAGGGGGAGATTGTGACTACATATCAGAAGCCACTGACTTAAAAGAAGAGAAAGACTGAGCATGGGACTAATTAGTATGAGAAGACAGGGAATAATTTAACCAATTGCAGATCATTTAACCAACAAGCAGATCGTGACACCAATAGAATAAGAGAACTGTGTAACTAGTTGTGAGAGACTGGAATGTTAATGGTTAATATTCAAACAGTCTTCCGTTTACAGTGATTGCCCAGGTGCAGAGGAGGTGCACACCCATCACCCAGGGCAACAGCTGAGTGCTGAACAAGACAAGGGAGGAGGCTGATAAGAGGCAAATCCTACTGAGGTGAAAGAGTGCTTTTCATCATGCCAATGTCCATACACAAGTGGCTCAGCTGTGAAGACTGCCCTCTGGGGAAGCACCAGGACATTCACAGTAGGTCTGATGTTGATTATCTCTATTTAAGGGCCATAATTCACACAACAGATACTTCACCGATGTAAGAGGCAGCTGTAAAATCTCAGAAATGGTAATTTAGCATCAAAGATTCCCAAAATATCCCTTGATCCTCAGCATTACATCATCCATTGTAAAATTCACTACCCCAGTGGGGGTACTTGGGCATTCTCACAGAGCCTGAGCCTATATTAACACACCAGATTTTGTGTGTCAGGGGCTTCCCCCATCTCAAATGGATCAAGATTGTGACCATCACTTTGACAAGACTGTGACCAACACATTGACCAATGGACATAAATATTGCAAGAATCAAATCTTGCTGCAGAATCCACAGGTGGTGACCATGTACCTGTCTACGCTTATCCTTTTTTTCTCTTTCTTTCCTTTACCTTATACATTGAATAGTCTCAGGACTCCCACCACTGAGAAGCCCAGGATGATTAAGGATCAACAGGATGCCACTGGATCCTTAAGTGGTGACTGATCTGTCTGCATCCCTCCTCTCTTTTCCATTTCTTTCTCTCTCTCCACCTCACATTTTGTTGTTCAATTAAATCTGTGAAAAACTGCATTGACTTGTTTGTTCATCAAAAGTATGAAAATAGGATAAAAGGGTTGGGGGGTCGGGGCATGGAATTTGCAGGCTTGGGCAAGGCTGCTAACGCAAACAAAGATTGTGAAAGATCTTGCAGGACTGGCTGGAACTGATAACCGCAGTGGAAGGAGATCCATCACCCCCACTTGTGAAACCAATTGTTGCTGGAACTGATAACCACAGTGGAAGGAGACCCATCACCCCCACTTGTGCTGGATAAAAAGGGACTCAAGAGAAGGAAAGGTTGTCAGCTTTTGGCGGAGCCACGCTCCCAAGCTGCACCCAGTGCTGTTTGCTTGCTATCGCTTGCTGTAATTAATAAAATTATTAATTGATCTTAAAAGGCTGAATCAAATTATTCGCCTCAATTTATAACAAATTCATATTGTTGACTTTGGCAGATTGTCACATTTGCACCTTAATTCAGGCAGAGGCATCTCTCACTAATAGGATCATATCAGGCACTGGAACTAGCTCCCCAGAGAAGTGATCATGGCATTAACCTGGCAGAGTCAAGGGACTGTCTAAATGATGCTCTTGGTCATATGGTTAATTTTAGCCAGTTTTGAAAGGAACAGGGAGCTGGGGTAAGTGATTCTTATGGCTCTTTTCCAACTTGAAGTATTTTATGACTTCCACCAGAGCATGTTCTCCCAATGGACAGAAACAATAAGGGCACAACCTGGTTAATTTGTACCAAGGCTGGTTTCTCCATATTTACAGCAAAAAGAAGATAAATCTGGATAAGTGTCATGACAGAGATATGTACACTGATATTTTCTTGCAGTGTTTTTGTGTCAAGAAACTTTCTAAAGCTGTACAATATTTCAGGTTTATTTACAGCAAGGCCTGTACTGATTAGTATAGACATTTCAATTCAATCAACAGGAGTGCTAAAACTGTACTTGAGAAAAATGCCTTTTGCTTACCTTTAATAGCATTTCTGTTTGGGAAAAATCAATGCCAAACAAAGAAACTGTCAGTGTCAGCCTTACCTAAATTTGTTTGATCATGCTGTAACATATATTTGAAAAGCACTTTCAAGTCTTAGAAGGGGAGTAAAGGTTAAGTATCAGCAACAATGGGCAAATACAGCTGGTAACGTCATAAATAGTTAACAATATTATATGGATGTCATGCTCTTCCAAAGTCATTACTGCAGTTTTGTCTTCAAAACACCATGGGGAATTTGTGATAGGTTTGACACAAAATGTCACTGAAAATGAAAAAGAGAGTACAATTCTGAATGTGATGATGGAAGCATTTGCAGACTGGTATTGTTTGTCCAAATGAATAGAAGAGAGCTAATGATTCATTTTTGCTGGCTTTACTTCTTACTGAATTAGTCACAGCGAAGGTTGCAGCTAGGGAAAAAAAAAAACAACAACAAAAAAAAACCAAAAACCAAAAAACCAACACACTGAAATGGAAGAAAATGACCAAACATCAGACTCAGAGAGAATGGTAGGGGGACTGGAAATTTCAAAGCATCATTTTTTTGGCCTACTGGTTACCTTGCCAGAATGGCAGATATGTACTTGCTTTTGTGGACCTGATGAGGACATAGAAGCCAAAGTGTAACTAGATGCTTAATGTACCTTTGTCATTTGTTTCTTGTCATAACATGAAGGAGATGCCCTATGGATCTTTGATTCATACTTGATTTCAGATCCATTTTTACCCTAAGCACCTTGCACATAATCCACAGCAAACCAGTCCTGAATAATGAGAGTTGAAAGCAGGTCTTTAGTCTATTTCATCCCTCTCTAAGAAAGGCTTCCCATGCAGAGGGGTGGAGGAATTCAGGATAACTCCTTCCAAACTACTGCCCACCCTTTTCCTTGGGCTTTGTATCATTCTGTGGGTCCCTGAAGCAGTTCCTGCCTGCACCAGCACACCATGAAAGGAGGTCACACCTGGTGCTTTGCAATGGGAATCCCTATAGAAAGCAGAGTATTCATGGACAGCAGTGGATGCCCTGCAGATCTCTCTGCTATCTAAGCCTTTCCAGATCTTGCTCCAGTGCTCCCCACACCAACTTGCTCCCTCACCATGCTTAACTTTTGGCTACTTTCCCACCCTTCCATGCCCTGCCCACCTGGCCTCGATTCTGGCAGCATTCCTGGTCACCAACCATTTGGTGGCTGTAAGTCAACAGCACAGCTCATTCAAATGCCTACTTCTATCTCTGGCATCATGTTAAGCCCGCCTGAAACCATAGCTTCATGTTATGCCTCTGATCCTTGGAAAGCATTTAAGCACCATTACTTCTGCTTTTCCTTCCATTAATAATCTGGTTTTTTTCTAATCAATTTAGGATGAAGCATTATTTGCTTTATGTATTAAATAGGTTTAAAATTCTATTATCATAGTAAGAGACTTAAATCTTGTATTAAGGCAAATAAATTCCTTTGGGAGTTGCTTTTAATCTCATCAAGTCAAACAATTACACAGCTATCATGGGAAGGTATTTGCTAGTTAATGTGGATTTACTTCAGAAAGAAACCCCATTCTTCACTAATACTCTATCTGACAACTCCTCAGTCTTCTCACATCATTTGCAGTGCTCTAAATGCACCTTACCATCACTCCCTGCATCTACTTAGCCACCTGAACTCTTGCAAAAGTTTTTCCTCCAAAGACAGAGCAAACTTTTTCCCTGCTTCCTCCATAGTCTTTTGGTTCTGTACAGGTGTACTTGTATAAGTTCATGTGAGGCCAGAGAATTTCCCTATGGATAAGTATAAACCTTGTACAAGGGTGTCACTCTTTGCAGACTGAGGGAATTAAAATCTGACCTACAAAAGGTTCAGGTGGTGATTTATTTGACCAAGGAACCTCACATTACAATATATGTGATGCAGATTTCATCTCCCCTGCCACTTAATTTTTTTACTGTGATATTTGTCACCTCCCTTATTCCTTTGTGTGTTTCTAGTCACTTTCTAATGGATAGCCATCTATTTTCCCATTTCCTAAGTTGCATACTCAAAAAAAATTTAATATTTTTAATTTTATGCTTCCTTTTAATATTATTTTACTATTTTCCTCTTTTACATTTCTGGAGGAATAGAGACAGTTAATTCTCTTTATTTTGATTGCCTCAGTTTCTCTCATGTTTTTATGCAAATTTTTTTTCTATTAGTTAATTCCATTCATTATTTTCTTCAGTGATCAAGACATTTTTTTCTAAGTAATAAGCATAGCTATTACAGCCAAGTGTCTCTTTATTACATTCCCACTGAATGTAATGAAGTCATCGTTGCTCCTCCTTATGAGACATCTTTTTTATAGTCCCAGCCCCCATGGTGAAGTCTGGGATGTTTGGAAATACCATCCTACAGTACCTTCCTCCCTTCTTCCTTTTGTTCTTCCTCCCCTCCCACTCTTGCCCCCAAAACTTAATGATAGTTAAATATTTAAATATTTAGATTTTTAGTGCTTTTACCAACTGCAGTAGGCACTGGGTTAAGGCTGTCTATAAATTCTATTTTAATCATCCAACAGAGAAACTGAGGTCAAGCCAAAGAGAGTTCTTGTACTCTCACTTTCAAAGGAATCCTGCCATACCAGGCAGAATCCTAGAAGCAAACCCAAACAGCATTTAGTACAGTCCTGCCCACTGACTGCCTGCAAAAAACTCTGTGTGTTATTAAAAACAATTATGGCCAAACAGGGCACAGTCTCTGGCTGAAAGAGGACAGCTCTGGGTGTCTGTGGTAGTGTTACAATAGTGTTTATTTGTGTGTGATAGATCAAGCATCCATAACCCTAAATATTTTAAAATCTTTGAAAAGTCAAAAGCTTGTATAGTAGTATTTTTTTTACTACCTAAATTTGTTTATTTCTAATTTTGAAAGGATGATATTCATACATTGACAGTGTCTTGACACAATAATTGAGTTGCCTTAACATTATGTTCCTTTAATTATCCACAATAAGTTTCCTTATGAGATGTGAACTGACAGATTGTTCTGGTTTCTGAAGTTGTAGTGCAGTATTATCCAAGTACTTTAAGAATATTTCGTAAGAGAATATTGTTCAAAAAAGAAAAAAGCATATCTGAAAAGCAGAGTCTACATTTGCAGGACAATAACTGCATTTCTTCAAACTGAAAGTACTTAATCATTATCAAAAGATATTTGCTCCAAGTCACACATATATGGCTCAGTATAATCATGTCTTTTCAAAAGTCAAACTGTAAGAACAGAAATATAGATTATATTGGCATTTTAGATATTACCTTTGAATGAAACTTTCTTGTACTATTAAGGCAAATTTCAGAAAAATAAGTCAGAGGAGTATAATACAATTTTTTTTTTTCTAATATCAAACACAACATCCGAATATGTTGGGTTTTAAACTTCCAATGGTTTACAGAGTTACAATGCTGTGTAATAAACAACAAAAAGACATGCAAAAGAGAATTCTGGAAGAGGATTTTGAAAGTTCTTTGCATAAAACAAAGGAAGGAAAGCATAAGTAAGTTGCTGCAAATAAGGAGCTTTAAATGTGTCTAAAATAATTTCACTACATTTGTTGAACAGCATATGGTTAATATTTTCCTTCCTGTAGATCATAATATTCCAGCAAAACTTCTGATTTAACTTAAGTGTTATATACTAAATGCCTCTACTTTTTGTTCCTTAGGAGCCAAAAATAAAAGACATGTCCTTAGTGAAAGCAAAACTGATCTATCTGTAGGGTGCAAAATGGAGAGATTCTCTATGCTGTTTGCTCTCAATTTGCTCTTATTCTTGTCTATCAGATTTTTAGGACTTTAAACATGAGATCGTAGAACCTGTAGTTATACTGACTTTACCAGATATGGTATGTTCAATAAAAAATAGCATGGTCTTATTTTTCTTACTCTTTTGAAAAACTAGCATATTTTATTATTTCATTGAACACACCACAACTTGTAATTGTGCCTGCTATGAGTCTATGATGGCCTCTGGATGAACACAGGGCTTTCT